AAGTTAGCTTTCCTTTCTTGTTTTATTTATGTTTTAACTTAGAGAAGTGAATCCAATTTTTTCTTTAAATGAGTTACATATTCAATTAATATATTTTAAATTTTTTAAGACTAAAATGCTTACTACAATATCTCTAGATTTAATTTGATTACAATTTTTGGAATGAGATCAAATAGATGTGAATTTTATTATTAACCAAGTTAATCATTTAACCTCTTATTAGATTTGAAGTATTAATTTGCAAGACCGAACTAGCTGTTCTATTTATGGCTTAGATATACTCCATCCTTGGATTTTCTCTGTGCCGCAATGCCGTCTCATCTCTTCCACCAAAATGCCACTCGTCTGTGGAATGGAATATGACAAACAGCAGCAGACGGAGCAAGCCAGACAGGAATGGCCTGGGAACTGGGAATCGGGGGATCCCCCACAGGGGCTGCAATATTTCGGCACTGAACTCGACAGCCAAGTGTCTGCTAGTGGGACAATACGAGGGGAGGGGCAAGAGGAGGGGCAAGGGGAGGGTAGGGGCTCTCCTCTAAAGGCGTTTGAGTTTTTAATAAGCAGCCAGCGCGGCGTCAAATGCCAGAAGTTTGATGAAAGTGAAGGCAGCTTGTCCGGGCATCCCCTTTCTCCATTTCTCTTCTCGATGGCAGTGCTGTTTTCAAAATTGAATAAAGTTGACAAACGAGGGAAGACCCAAAAGGTGATAAATTCTCAGCCCTCAGTCTCACAGACTGAAGTGTCGTCAGCAGTTAGACGGAAAAACGGGAAAATCTGGTGAAAAGGGAAGCCGAGAAAATACAAATTTAATTGCAGTGAGCCAGGCTTTGAAGGATGGGAAAAACGAAAATATACGGGTCAAGCGAAATCATTTCGCAAGTGCAATTTGAGATACAAATTCAGGCGCTGGTGTTCGTTGCTTCTGATGTTGCCCTCAGTACTCAAAAATCTTTTTTCTAAGGTTTTCCAAGTTTTGATATTTTTAGTTATGCCATACTTTTTTACATACTTCCTGCTAACAAAAAATGCAAATATGTCCAAATATTTAAAATAATAACAAAAATAAATAGAGTTTTTCTGTGAAGAAAGGTTTTTCATAATTGGAAAGGTGTTCCTGCAGTAGAGGGTTAAGAAATAAAAATCTAAAGATCTACCTGGCCGTAAAGCCAAGGTCCTCGGGTCATTGGGCATTATCACCACATTCTTGACAGGCATTCAACAACCGCTCCTCAATCTCCCAGTGCCCCACGTAATCCATCGGAAAACAACAGCAACGGGGCCCATTCATAAGCCTCAAGGTTAAACCACTAAAAATCATTGACCAACATCAAAGAGCCATTGTTTTTGGCCAAGAGCAAATGGACCCGAAATGCTAAGCCCCTAAATGAAAATGGGAATGGGATGCAACACAATACGACGCACAAATGCCAAAGAAGTAGATTTATGCCAATTGCTTTTAAGCACCTTGAATATATATATCCCCAATGTGTGACTAATGAACAGGCCCTCCACTCCACTAAGTTGGCCTTTTATTTAGCCATTTGGCCCACCCACATTTGCACAATTTACGATTTTTCGCTATTACCAACACTGCCTATAAGTCTTTGTATATTTATATATTTTTGTATGTGCAAGAGCGATGGCAGCAGCCAGCTCATTAATTTCGCTTAACTTCACAAATTGCCAATTGTGCGCATTGGTCAACATTTTTACTTCATTCCGTCTCGCTTCCAATTCGTGGTTGACTGGGCCTGGTTTTTTGGTTCTGGTTCTGTTTCTGGTTCTGACTGCGGACCAGGTTGATTTCCTTTTTCCCCGGACATCGCTATATGTCCATGTCCGACAATTTCTTCTCTATTGTTCTCGCAGTCGTATTTATTGCCTTGAATGCCAATTTGTTTCATGTGCCCATTGTTCTGCACTTACGGGTCAAGGTAGTAAGGTTTGGTGGCGCAGTTTGTAGGCTCAAAAAATATACGGAAGATGAGGAGTTTGAGGGAAACTAATCAATAGGTAAATGTTAAAAGAGTGGTAAATTATAAAAACACATTAACAATATTTAAGTTATATTACAAATATCTTCTTAGAAAATATATTTTTATACCCTTGCAGAGGGTATTATAATTTTGGTCAGAAGTTTGTAACGCAGTGAAGGAGACGTTTCCGACCCTATAAAGTATATATATTCTTGATCAGGATCAATAGGGGAGTCGATATAGCCATGTCCGTCTGTCCGTCTGTCCGTCTGTCCGTCCGTCCGTCTGTCCGTCTGTCCGTCTGTTTCAATACCGTTTGCGAGCTCAGTTTAAAAGCTAGCGATCTGAAACTTTCACAGTCGTCCTAAAACAAGTGTACGCAGATCAAGTTTGAAAACCGCCCCGATCGGATGTCTATATCCTATAGCTCCCATAGGAACAATCGGATATAACTTGCAAGAATGGAAGATATTTCGCGCAGTGTAAAAGCTATTGACATAAATCTTTCCAAATCTTATTTTTTTATGCGTACCTTGATCAGAGTAAAAGCGCGTGACGATCGGACGTCTATATCCTATAGCTCCCATAGGAACAAAAGGGTAAAATCGGTTAAAATTTAATGATTTTTAGGATATTTCGCACAGTATACAAGCTATTGACATGAATCTTTCCAAATTGTATTTTTTTATGCATACATTGATCAAGGTGAAAGCGCGTACCGATCGGACGTCTATATCCTATAGCTCCCATAGGAACAATAGGGTGAAATCGGTCCAAATTTGATGATTATCAGAATATTTCGCGCAGTGTGTAAGCTACTAACATCAAATTTTCCAATTCTTATTTATTTACGCATATCTTGATTAGGGTAAAAGCGCTTGCCGCTCGGAAGTCTATATCTTAAAGGAGATAGGAAAAATTGTTAAAGGCTGCGAAAGTATCCCTTTTTATACCCGTTACTCGTAGAGTAAAAGGGTATATTGTATTCGTGCAAAAGTATGTAACAGCTAGAAGGAAGCGTTTCCGACCCTATAAAGTATATATATTCTTGATCAGGGTCACTAGCCGAGTCGATATAGCCATGTCCGTCTGTCCGTCTGTCCGTCTGTCTGTCCGTCTGTCTGTCTGTCTGTCTGTCTGTCTGTCTGTCCGTATGAACGCTGAGATCTCGGAAACTATAAAAGCTAGAAGATTGGCATTTTGCTTGTAGATTTTAGAAGTTCCTAAGCAGCGCAAGTTTGTTCCAAAATGGTGCCACGCCCCCTTTAACGCCCACAATCGCTAATATACGATTTTAAAAATTTAAATATTTCGGAAAAGTAAAAATGCAGTTTTATTGTGTTTATCAATACCTATCGAAATGTTGAAGAAATTTTTCAAATCGGACCATTCGTTAAAAAGTTATGCGTGATCAAAGTTTCTATCTCCATCTCCCTCGCACTCCCTTTACCTGAGTAACGGGTATCTGATAGTCGGGGCACCCGACTATAGCGTTCTCTCTTGTTTTCTATTTGTATATGACATTTTTGCAGTATAAAAGCAATTGACTTGAAACGATGCAAATCTAGTTTACTTATGTATACCTTATTCCTTTCGCTACTTTTTCACTTTTAGCAATTTCGTCAAAGTCTGCAAGGGTATTAAAACTTCGGCTTGCCGAAGTTAGCTTCCGTCCTCGTTTATTGTTTAAATTGAAACCATTTAATGTAGGTCTGACGTGAGTGCGCTTAATTCTTCAAACATTATATCGGATTCTGCTAACATAAAGTGTATAAAAGTCAGTAAATGATTCTTTCTGAAACTTAGGTAGGGTGTTTCTCATTTTAAAAGCATTTCTAATATATTGATTTCTCTTTAACTGAAGCAAAGATATAGCAGATTAGTTAAATTTAATTATACCTTGAAGTTGGATATTAATTATTATTTTTCCAATCTTTAGCAAATTTTAATGGTGGATGTGATATCGGTTCGCAATGAAAAAATTTTAGAATAATATATCTTCAGGACTATAGAATATTAAAAATGATACAAATAATCAGAAAAATGCTGTTTGCTATCCAAAAAAGTACATAAATTTGAGCATGAGGAAATCAGTTCTTACTTACAAATATAATGAAATAATTTAAATGTGGTCTAAAAAATAATACGGGTTAATAAAAATTGTCACGTCCATCAATTGACTAAAAAAAATCGATTGGAGTGAAGAAAAACTGGCAGATAATAATTGAGGAATGTTGTTGAGGCCATAAGGCCACAGAAATAAATTGTCTTGGTCAAATCTTCCTATGCATTATGTAACTATAAACAAAGTTTTGTAACTATTAAAACTAGTAGCCCATTGGTATAGACTTTCTATGCCCTCATAATAGTAACTCTAATAGTAACTCTCATTTTAAATTTATATTTTTGTGCGGAGGCTTAAAAAAAATATATGTTGAACTCTTTTTTTCCCCTTAAAGTGCCTATTAAATTTCATAATTAATAAAATACAATTAGATTACAAAAACTGCGACTTAAAAGTTAGTTTTATCTATTGAACTCAAACTTGAAACCAAAAATATAGTTTGAACTTAGGGTATTCTTCAGTCATCTTACCTTTCGTTTTATTTTTGTGTCATTTCCCTGTTGCTGTTGTTTATATGGCTGTTGCTTTTTGTGCCGTCTGCGTACACATGAATTCTTAGTTTATGAACTTCAGCTGGCCCCACAGTTTGTAAGGCAGCAACTTCTCGTTAATGTTACACTGGCATGTTACCTCAATCTGTGTGCCTTCCCTTCCATTACTTTCCGCATTCTATGAACAATAAAAATGGTGACAAATTGTCATCACACGGCACAAATGGGGGTTTTATTAATGTGAGCGACTTTTATGGTTGCGGGCCGGTGGCGTATGCGTAATGTGAGTGATGACATGGGGGCTAGACAAAAGGGGGAATGGGCAATGAATGAAAATGAACCCAGGACAAAACCATCAATTAGCATAACACAACTGAAGCACACCAACCTCGTGTTCCTTTCCAGGATGTGAACAACATCTACGCACGCAACTACATAGCCGGCAAGCCAATCCAGAAGAAGGACGAGCAGCTGGGAACCCCTTGAGGCAGAAAAACGAGAGAGGTAAGCCATTCCCCGAGGATAAGGGACTAAGCCAGCTGACAAAGCCGCCCTCCCATTTCAGAACTGGCCCACGCCCACATGAACCAGGTGCTGAAGGAGGCCACTTGCCGCGTGCCCCAGAAACGCTGCCAGCTGGTGCAGCAGGATCCCTCGAAGATCTACACGCCCCACTGCACCATCCTGCACCGCTGCAGCGAGGACAGTGGCTGTTGCCCGAGCAGGAGCCAGATATGTGCCGCCAAAAGCACCCACAACGTTGAGCTTCACTTCTTCGTGAGTACCTTGCACCCATATCATAGGATCATTTCCGAGACGTGCACTATATGCAGAACTTTGGAGGAGCTAAATAAATAAACTACGCTTGGCCCTCACTTAACACGGACTCTTTTTACCACGAACTCGATCCTACACGGTTACAAATTTACTCCCATCCCCCTTTTAACACGCTAAAAACCTCGTCTTACACTATTGCAAAATATCGTTTTTTTTTTTTTTGTTTTAAAGGCACCAAACAATCGAAAATGACAGATTTTTTTGATAAGGAGCCACAAACAAACTGGCTTAATCTATAAATGCCACCAAATGCATTTCAAATTTTATATGAATAAAACCATATGATCTCCATACTTTGGAACATTTTGTGAAGGTTAAAGTTTTTATATAGCTTAGCCCGTTAATTATATGAAGCAACTTTTTTAATTTAATACCAACTTTTTAACATTTTCACGTTTCAATAAAGTTTAACCTGTTAACTAATTAAATGAAGCAACTTTTTTAATTTAATACCAACTTTTAATTTTGAAAATATGAATGTTATGCATTTATTAATAACTTTTGGTTAATATTGAAAAAATTTATGAGTCTTTAATGAAAACAGACCAAATTTGAACAATAACAATTTTTTTTTCTGCCAATTTTGAATTTTTAGAACGTAACCCCTTATTTTGTACTGAAGTTTAAGAAGTTATAACCAGTATTTTAATGCTGTTTTCCCAATAATTATATATCATTCGAAATTTTTTTGGTATGATATTTCTAGAGACTTAAAGAAATTAACATTTATTTATTTATCATACCAAATTCTGTATGCTCGAAAATCAAGTGTCAAGTACGAAAATCGTATTGTATGATTTTTATTGACATCTTCCTAAAACCGCGCCCTCGACTCTCGGAAAACAAACAATTTTCATTGAAATGCTACGCTTGGGTGCAGCAAAAGCAACAGCGATAAAAAATGAAAACTGATTTTCATTCTGGCATTCTGAACTCAATTATTCCGTATTGGCTTAAGTTTTCGAAAGTGAACGTGTGCTCGCGTTTTGTGACTTTTAGGTACCGTTGGTCTGTCTATATATGTCTGCCTCTGTCTTTCCGAATGGTTCTATCTCTTTCTTGCGAACCCACCTTCGGCGGTAATTGGCGTTGTTGTTTTATTATTGTTGTTGTGGGCGTAGGTCATGCTTGAGGGCGCCATATTGCAACATAATTATATCGCTTCACCTTTATTTTCATTATATTTTATTTTTCCGTGGTACTTCTTTTTTAACGTGGGCTTTCGGCTGAAATGACTTTTTAATGACGCAATGATAATTCAATTTGTTTGGTGATTTATGCCTCGTGATATGATTATTGTTCCTCGTTGTTGTTGCTGCCGTTTGCCGTCATTGTTCTTGCTGTCTTTTTGTTACGTAACGAGATTTCAATTCATGTTGAAATCGAGAATGTAATTAAGCATTTGTGCTTTGCCCTCGGGCTGAAAACGTATTTGGTTTAATTTTAATTTTAATATGTCGCAGATTGGTTTGCTTTCATATGCTACAGATTCGATTGCTGACGATATTATAAATGACAGTAAATTTAAAGATAAAGATAGTTTTGAGTTTTGTTAATAAGTTCATCAGATTAGGAGTATTCCAAAATTAGGACAATAAAGTAAACATAAAATCAGAAAATGCAAAGACTTTATCCCTGACCTAAAGAACAATAATATGTCAATCAGAAGATTTAACACCCTTGCAATTATACCGTTAACAAGATTTTTGAACATTATCATAAATTAAGTGATTTACATAAATAAAATATAAAACAAAAATATTTAAAACAGAAAAAAATTTCAATGTTTCTATGGTTTCCTTTTCCCTCCTCTGGCAGTAAATATAATACATTTTTCCTGTAATTTGTATATCCGATCCTGTCAGTTTCCTTATTTTCCTGTATTTGCTTAGTTTCCCATTATGAGTGACTTTTTAGGGGGTTGATTTCTCCTCATTTTCTTACTTTCTAGAGCTTTCATAAATTTCACTCTTGCGGCGGCCTTTTTGCAGCTGCAACTTTTTTATTTGTGGCCTGGCAGGGGAACTCGTAACTCTGAGCTCCGAGGACGGCTTTTAATTTTCAAATATTTATGCTGCGCTTGCCGCAAAAAGTTTCCACTTGCAAGATTTATGCTCACACACTCTGAGACAGAAGAGGTCCCAAAGTCTGGGGCAAATAGAACCGCAAAATGCTTAAGAAAAAGACAAACACGCCCACACATGAACCTTCGCAGAGGAAAAGGGCGTCGCAGGAATGAGGTTGACTCCCCCTCTTAATTATCCAATAAAACTTGGGAGCAAAACCACACAAATTATTGTAGGGAAATTTAACATTTTCGGCACTAGAGCAAAAACTTGGTAGATAAGGGGAAAGGATGGGAATTTAAGATTAATGGGAAAGTTACGAGGGACAAGATTAGCCCTAAAAATGTCTAGTCAATCGAATATAATAAAATAAGAGTTTTTTAAAGTAAGTTTAAAAGCTTGTAATAAACTTATGGTTAAAGTAAATAAGCGGTTAACAGGGGAATTCGGTTTCATGGTCTCAACAAAACGAAGAAAAACCACAGTTTTCTTGAACTTCTTAAAAGCATTTTCTTAACTGTGAATGTAGTAAGCCTGCTTTAAAGCCAGTGTTAATATGCAAATATTTTCTGGGAAGTCCCAAAATAAACTTGTTCGTTTTTGGCATTAGCAAACTTCATGACGAGCTCAGTGGAATCAGCCGACAGCAAAGTGTATGGCCCCAAGGAACTTCTGTGTCCATCACTGTTGGCTTTTTCCTCCTCGTCTCCTATTCACCCCCTATTTTGCACACTTTTCCTTTTTCTCCTCAACCATCCTTCAAATGGGGCAAAAAAATATTTCTGGCCAGGACAAGAGCAGGAAACTAAAGCTGAAGCTGTGCATGTGTCCAAAGCTGATGGTAGTCCTGAAGCTTGAGAACACACATATGCAATAAAAATAGCACTCGCTAAAGAGGAAGATGAAGCCGAGCGAGGAGGAAGCATGAGGACAATCTGCCAGAAGGGAGCAACTCAGCGGTTTGTCATTGAGAGGTGTCAAGTGGCAGGCAAACACACGCAGACACACACAGCTGGAGAGCTGAGGAGGAGGTGGTGCACTGGGAGAAAACATGTTTTAAAAGCATTAAAAAGTTCAAAAACCTCAGCTTAACTTATAACCTTATTCAAAAAAGCTGTTTACTGTGAAATTATCGTGCTTTGTTGTTACATTTTTCTGTATTAACGGTTAAATTATTGACATAAATTTTCACAAATATTCTTGACTTGCTTACTTACTGTAACTAACTGTAAAGTAGCTATTGATATTTTTTTATAATTACCAAAAGGTTCTACTCTACTCTGAATTCATATAATCTATGTACTCGATATTTTGTCTAAACCTAATAAATATAAATATTACTTAAATTAGGACAGAACTGTATGAAAGCAGTGCAAAAGAACTTCAGATGATTGATTTTGCTAATTTTCCAGATTTGGCTTTAGGGTGATCCACTTACATTAACGTTACCAATACACAATATTTACTGTCGCTTGCAGTTTCTTTTACCAAAAATTGTCGGTTGGAGCATTTAAAGTGCTGAATCATTTCAGAAAGATTTTTTATTTGTTCAGATGCTTTTTCTCTGTGTAGCAAGAGGTATAAGTAGGTGGAGATGTGGGAGGGCTAAGGAGCGATAACCAGGCTGAGGATGCAACCAACAACAGCAGCACGATAAAAAAGCGTAAACATTTTAACAAAACATAATTTATGTTGCGCAAATTTTGCATTTCGAGGAAGGTTTTTGGCTTGTGAGGTAGGGGGAGGGACGAGGGACAAGGGACGAGGTGCGGAGGAAGGGGTTATTCTGCATTGTGCAAGTCTGCAAAGGGCAATGGCCTGCCCCTCTGTTCCTCAAGCACACCACAACAAACTGCAGCACATGTTGTAGGCGCTGTGAGATTTATGAGGCGGTCTCCTCTCCTTTCTTCGCCTCCTGGATTATCTTTTTCGGGTTCAATGGCCCCCACTTTCACCCAAGTCAAAGAGGTGCGGGTCGTGGCAGAAGAGTCGGGGGCTAGAAAATTCAAAGCAGAAATCAAAGGCCTCCTAAACGTGAAAGCCAACGCCCACTGGCAGCAGTAATAAAAACACACACACAGCCAGCAAAACTTTTGCTTGCTTAGCAAACCGAAGCCGAAGTAAAAGTCAACTCCATGGCCAACTCCTCATCTGAATACCCGCCATCTAAAACCTCCTTTCCCAGAAAAAGCAAAAGGTGGCTTTCAACTGCCAAGTAAACACAATTTTATATTTGGCTTAAATAGGGATCAAAATAAAGTTCAATATTAAATGTCGCTAAATTTAAATAAAAATTTGTCTATTGTGTCCGTTTACACAAAATGTTTTTCGCTGTGTATCTTCTTTCATACTACAAACCAAACTGAGCTTCGGTGATTTAATTAATTTGCCACAAGCTTGCGACGGGTTAAACAAACGGGAAAAGTCTGATACAGTAAAGCAAGTAAAAAAGTTTTCTTGGGAAAGGGTTAAAAAACCCCTTTTTCGTGCCAATTCCCTTGCCAATTCTCGAACTGCGTTTGCAATTTTATCAAGCTCAAAGCCCGGGACCACACTGCGTGACATCCTCGTTTGAGGCGGTGACAAATGCGAATTGCGGCACGTAAACAGATGGAAACCGGTGCATGAGGCAAGCATCAGGATTTCTCACTGCACTTGAGGAAAACCTTTTTAATGCCACGCTGATGTGAGCAAATAATTTTATACAACATGTGGCATCCAACGGTTGTTTTTGTAACAACTTTCTTATTTACTATTCTTGGTTTTTAAATTTATTACAAAATAAGTTCTTTACTTTTTAAGTAAATAAACTATATTATGGAGTTTGATTTTTAGAATTATGATAGCTGTAAGGTGATCCTTTTAAAAGGTTCAACAAAGGTTTTATTGACTTCAAACACACATTTTTATCATAAAGGGGGATAATGTCTTCCTGCATGCTGAAACTTGTACTTTTTTTACAATATGTTGGGAAGAAGTCAAGTGAAGTTAGAAAAGAGTGGATAATAAAAGGATATCCCATGGGGTGGTAAAACTTCAGAAGCTCTGTATTAATTTGTTCATAAAAAAGTTCATAACTTCTGTGATTCATATGAAAAAGTTTGAAGGTCGGTAAAATGACACCAATTTTGACCGGATGAAATGGACATTGGTTTATATTATTATATTAATTATAGCTCCGTAATAAAAAGCGTTCAATTTAAGGTAAAGTTTGCTCCCTATTTATTTCGGTTAGCTGAATCCAAACATGTTCCTTACTCTTGCGCCAAGTTTGTGGCAGTACAGCATTCCCACGAGTAATTTCATAAGCACTCAGAAGAATTTATAATTCATATCAATATTTAAAAACAAATTTAAGCCAAACACTCATTTGAAATTCCTCCCAAAAGTAGGCAACCTCAAGGTCTTAACAAACACGTGCTCTGCCTGGCCTTCTTTTTGTCTCGATTAGGCCCTTGTCCTGCCCATTGTATTGAGTTAGAACAACAAGTCAGTAACGTTTCGAAAAACATTTTATGCTTGCATGCCACTGAGTTGGCTTAATCGCAGTATCCCCCCTTGTTCGCCACTTGGAAAATCCCTGAAAAACCCAGCAATAACTGACTAATTGCTCGGGTCACACACATGGACACCGACGCACACACACGCACATTCTCTAGAGAATGGAAAACGGGGTTTACGAATGCATTTTCATGGATAAAGACCGAACCTCAATTAGAGAGGCCATCTTGGAAAGTAAGCCCCCATTTACCAACCCCCTTCAAGCACTCACAAACAATATTGTTATACTCCACGATGCACTTAAATAAAAGTGGTAGAGAGATTTTATTGAATTATTTATTTATTTAACTTTGGCAAGCTGAAGTTTTAAAAGTCTAACAGAAAATTGAAGAATGCCTGCGCTGCGAGAAAATACATATGACAGCATTGCAAGGTCTTGACCAAAATTGTAGTACCTTTCAAAAGGGTATAAATTATTAAAAAATATTTTATAAATAAAAATACAAATAAAAAAATAAATAAACGAAATTAACTATTATACAGGCCTTCGTTTTTAAGAAAAGTACTGAGAACAGTTGGCCGAAATAATTAATAGACCAGTTTTGCTTCCGTTTGTTTTTGAGTGTATAGGCTGAGATTTTGCATATTTACTGTGCAGAAAACAGGAGAAGCACTTTAGTGCAATTTTTTGCACAATTGTGGTTTGGCCAAAGTAAAGTAACAACACCAGCACTTGGCACTTCCGCTTCCGGCAATTATTCTTGCTTTTAGTCAGGAAAAACGGCCAGTTCTCAAGGAATTTCATGCCTCTCGGAATACAAAAGCACGTAAAAACTTTTAGGCGAGGGTTAGTAAACAACTTTTTCAACTCGCTGCAGGTTGAGTTGCATTTGCATAAGCATTTCCATTGACCAAAACCACACCACAGACCCAAAAAACCACACAACACGAACCTCAGCGAACCAAACTGAAAACTCAATTTGAAGCGTTTCCATAAATACCTGAAACGAGTGAGATATTTCCCCTTTTTTGCTTTGTCAACTTATCGGGCTTGTTATTTGTTTCAGCTATGATGCGTCCAGCGACTGCATCAGTTGAATGGCTTTGGAGGCGTACCCATTCCCTGCTCGAGTTCCCTGCCCGCCAGCCCCAGATTGGGAGGAGCTTCCATCAAGTCGGAGGAGGCGGCGGCGACGGGCAAGCATGGCCTGCGAACCGGAAGCGTGCCACCACTACTGCAGGTCAGTCCTCCAGCTCCGGCTTAATAAATAGAATGGTGAATAGAAAGAACGAAGCACCTGGCTTGCAGTTCTTAGACTTTGTCTATATTTTTTGAGTAACATGCTGACTAGACTGGGGAAATTGCATTAGGCAAAGACATTTAATAGGTTCTCTTTTTGGGCAGCTAAGCTTATTATCTAACCATTATCGAGGAGGGTAGGGAGTGGATATGCGGGAAAAGGGATTTTATATTCGACAAATAAAGCCTGTTGAATACATTTTAAATACATAGCAACATATTGGAACTATGCTTTTGTACCTATAGAGCCAATTTGCTCGCAGTTTGCCGTCTTACTAAAATCCTTATCGACTCTTCCAGGAAATCATGGATGTTGAGCATCACTGGCAGTACACCGACGCTGAGCTGGCCCGTATAAACCAACCGCTGTCGGCATTCGCCTCCGGCAGCTCGTCCTCATCCTCGTCGTCCGCCGCATCCTCGGGCGCCCACGCACAGCCGCAGCTGACCAATCCACTCCTGGCCAGTGCCGGCCTCTCGTCCAATGGCGAGAACGCCAACCCCGATCTAATCGCCCATCTCTGCAACGTGGCCGATCACCGCCTCTACAAGATCGTCAAGTGGTGCAAGAGCCTGCCGCTTTTCAAGAATATTTCGGTTCGTAAAGGGATTACATGGACACTCCTTGAATATCGTTGTACATTTCAATCCATTCCAGATCGATGACCAGATATGCCTGCTCATTAATTCGTGGTGCGAACTGTTGCTCTTCTCCTGCTGTTTTCGATCAATCGACACTCCCGGCGAGATTAAAATGTCACAAGGCAGGAAGATAACCCTATCGCAGGCCAAGTCAAATGGCTTGCAGGTGAGTTACGCCTTAAACTTATAAAATAAGTTAAATTCACCCCAGTAACACGAATATAACCGCTTATTTATTGTAGACCTGCATTGAAAGGATGCTCAATCTGACGGATCACCTGAGGCGATTACGCGTTGATCGCTATGAATATGTTGCCATGAAGGTGATAGTGCTGCTGCAGTCGGGTAAGAAGTATAATTACCTGCCAAATTGACCCCAACGCTAATCAAAGAAGTGTGTCCCCTCAGATACGACGGAGTTGCAGGAGGCGGTGAAGGTGCGAGAGTGCCAGGAAAAGGCGTTGCAGAGCTTGCAGGCGTACACCCTGGCCCACTACCCCGACACGCCGTCAAAGTTTGGGGAACTACTGCTGCGTATTCCTGACCTGCAGCGAACATGTCAGGTGAGTGTGGTGTTATGCATATTAAAATGTTACTCTGTGCGAATAATAAATGTCTTTTAAAGCTGGGCAAGGAGATGCTGACGATCAAGACTCGGGATGGCGCGGATTTCAATTTGCTAATGGAGCTCTTGCGCGGGGAGCATTGACAATTGATTACAGAGATAGAAATCTGCTGCCGTTGGCAAAACAAGTTTTACATATTTAGTATTAGATACATATATTTTGGAGATAAGTTCTTTAGTTGTAAGCTCTGAAAACATGTGCCTAAAAACCAAAGCCACGATAGCAGCCACATCAGGCCCACTGGTCGAGATTGAATCTAAGCGCAAGATTGCCAAATTTTTACACCAATATATATTTTGATATAAGCCATGTGCAGGGCCCTAGATTGCTGTTGTTGTTGGCTAGAGTTTCAGTAAGAAAAGTATATATTGATTTTGCTATATATACATATTTGACTTATGTATAGTGTAAACTAAAGCACACATGGAAAATGAAAAGACTAAAAAAATTTATTTAAAAAATTACTTTTACTATTACGAAAGGATAAAAACGAAAAGGCATAAAAAACACAAAGGCATAAAAGTAAATTTAGTAACATCAGCTAGCGACATTTTTATACCTACCTACATAACGGAAATTATTCAATGTATTTTTAATGAATGCCAAAACCAATTCGGTTTGAAGGAGAGCTGCTGAAATTTTCGATAATATCTCTATATATATTCATTATTAGCAAACAGATAATGAAATCCCATTTTTAAATGTTGTAGCATTTAGTTTTAGTGCAATTTCACCCATGTCTACATATATTAAATATATATCTTCAACCAGATATCTATGTTCGCAAACCTTATACAACAAAAGACCACTCGAAATCGCCATCCTGGTTGGCTAAGACTATTCCAGTTATGCTGATTGTTGCATAAAAAAAAACACAAGTACATACATAAATCAAATGTATCATTTTATACTTGAGGTTAAGTTTTGTATTAATTTCTGTTTTATAATTATTTTTATTATGTAAATCTTACTTAAATAGCTGAAGCAAATCCTGCAACAGGATTCAAAACACGTAAATACACAAAACAATATAAAAAATCATTTTTTGATTATATCTAGATAGTTGTTTCCTGCATATGTGTGTGTGTCTATATGTGAGTAAGCTTATTGTAAAACTTCCTGCCCCACCAGAAAATTCACACGCAACAAAAAAAGAACATTAAATTCCAAATATAATAAACTTGTATCTACAGAAGGAAGATTAGGCATACTTAAAGATGATGGCAGAAGTCCAAGAGATCTTGTGGAGAGTATCACTTACATCTAAATTGTATTGTTATTTATTATTTTGCTTTATTAACTCTTTCCGTTTTTAAAATACTTGAAATATAATCTAAATAGTGAGCTCATTAATCTTATCTTCATCCGAATATTTTTTAATTTGTTTGTTCAGTAAGTTACTTGCTTTTATCAGTGTATTGTTAAATCAGGATCTCACTGCACAATTGATACATGGTCTTCTGCCCGTTCTTGCTGCTGTCCGTCAATGTAAACTTTAAGTGAAATTGAAAATAGTTAAATGTTAATTTAATGAATAAAAAGGCCTAACTAAATATCAATATACAGTTTACCATAGTTAAATAATGATAGCCTCCACACAAATAATTAAGACCAATCAAATCAAAATTATATTATAATTTCCCAAGCATTGCAAACGCTCACAAACACAAAGAAAACAGATTTTTAAAACATTTTCTAATTTATATGAACGGCTAGAATTTGTCTACTTAAGTACATTGCTTAAGTAGTTAAAGTTAGCTCAAAATTAAACGGCTCAAAGTTTGAAGGTTATAAAGTTTTCTTCGTTTGTGATGTTCAATTTTGCTACATACCAACTCATCCCTTAGTAAATATTTATGTTCATTTTGCTTTTAAATAAATGTAATAATTAAAATTCAACAAATAATTGACGAACAATTAAAAGTAAATTGTCAATGCAATATTTTGTAATAAAAAATCTTAAAAACGTGACATTGTTTACGCCATTTTGAAGTTTAATGAAGATTAGTTGATGAATTCAAGACCCTAAAAGTTCGTATTCATAATTTAATTTGTTTATTTCAGGCCTTACCTTAAGGACCACATGTCGGGTATATGTTGGTACCGCATGGAAGATGGCAGCAGAATCCGGGACTAAAAGCAGACTGTCATTTAGCCAAAGGACATTAAACTCGGTACTTAAACACACCTAGGCTGACCCAAAAGAAAGTATGGAGAATCTGAGCTGCAGATACCGCCGGTTCCATAGGCTCCGCCGCACATGTCGCCACTCAGACCATTGCAGCACATAGTATCAGGTGGACAGGGGGCAGGGCATCCAGCGCTCGGAAGGCACTCACTATCCCAGCAACTGGTGGCAAGTGGCTCAGGAGAGCAACAGCATCCTCCGCCACAAAAGGGCGCAGGGTTGCCCCCACTTAAAATCGGCCTGTAATCCGTCATATAAACAGTTTGGGTCTGGAACATATCGTTGATGCTGGATCCGCACAAGAACGGATTGAAGGTTGTCATCGGTGGAGGTGTCTGCTGTTGGGCTCCCAGAAAGTTGGACTGCGGACAAGCAGAGCAGGCGCCCTGGGGGTAAAAACATGGCGGTGGGGCATACCAAGTGCCAGGTGGAGGCACGAAAGGTGTGTCCAATCCCATGGAACCGCTATCCGAAAAGCTAGAATAGGCCGAACTTTCGCTGGAAGTAACACCAGAACTAGAAGAACTTGTACTTTGCCTAGAATTCTGGAGAACCTCAGGATCTGGCATTTCAAGTCCCCGATTCTCTGAGTCTGAGCTATCCAAAGAAACTAGATCTTCGGAATCCTCGTCAGAATAGCTGGGGAGTAGATCCTCAGAAGTGCCTTCCGGATGCCTTGCGCATCTGCATTTCGAAGAGGTAGTTAAAGTCTGTTCCGATTGGATAGAATTCTGGGAGCAGCAACAAAAGTCGATGTCCTGATCGGATGTGGACTGCATCTGAGAGTGGCTTGCGGGGGACCGGGATGAGCATCTGCAGCAAGGACATCCCCAGTTTGCAGCGATAAATGTTCCCGGGTCGCAGAAACATGCAGTTCGCATTTCTGGTTCGGCGAACGTGACACTGTTCATTGGGTTACCACAGATCCGAGCGCCTAGGAAAATAAGGAAAAACAAGTAAAGGAAAAAAAGTAAGGAAAAACTTCGACAAGCCGAAGTTAATATACCCTTGCAGTTATTACAAAACGACTATATTTCGTTTTCTATGCCTATATTACTAAAAACATTTTGCCATCGTTTCTATGGCAGGTACATGATACTGTTGTCCGATTTTGACAAAACTAAAAGCGTAATTCTGACATAGTAAATACTTACTATATCTCAAAGAAATATTTTAATAAATAAAAGACAGCAAAATACTTTCTTTTTCATTTTTTTATTTTTCCTTGGGATCTAAAAACCGTAATTCCGTAGTATTTAAGTATTACCAAATCCGAAAGATCAAGAAAAAAATAAAAAACAACAAAGTTATACTTTTTAAATTTGTTTTCTGATTGTTATATGATATAGTCGCCCGATCCGGCTCTCTCCGACTATATATATATATATAAAAGTGTGTAGAAAAATTTGTTAAAAGTATAGGAGAATACTGTCATTATACCCTTGCAGAGGGTATTATAATTTTGGTCAAAAGTGTGCAACGCAGTGAAGGAGACATCTCCGACCCTATAAAGTATATATATTCTTGATCAGGATCACCTCCTGAGTTGATATAGCCATGTCCGTCTGTCCGTCTGTCTGTCCGTCTGTCTGTCCGTCTGTCTGTTTCTACGCTAACTAGTCTCTCAGTTTTAAAGATATCGAATTGAAACTTTGCACACACCCTTCTTTCCTTTGCACGCAAACGGCCGGGATCGGCCTACTATATCCTATAGCTGCCATATAACTGATTGATCGGAAATGCCATAACTCTGCTGTTTGTTAAGTTAGGAAGTTGGGACTTTCTATGGGTTCTATATTTGGCCAATCAATCCGACGTACCAAATTTCATAAGGATCGGCCGACTATATCTTGTAGCTGCCATATAACTGATTGATCGGAAATGCCATAACTTTGGTGTTTGTAAAGTTAGGAAGTTGGGATTTTTTATGAGTATTAAGAATGCATTATATTAATCATTTTGGAGAATATAATTTGCAGAATATTCTGCAAGGGTATTTCAACTTCGGCTCCGCCCGAAGTTAGCTTTCCTTTCTTGTTTTCTGTATTTCCGGTGCCGTAGTCTTTGAATTGGCTTTTACAGGATGTTGTTAATTATTTTGGACGACCTAATCTGTGCTTTACCTAAGCGGTTTCAAAGTTTCGGTTAAAATGTATTATCAAAGACCAATACAATAATTATATTGGTCTTTGGTATTATTGTACACATTTCATCTAAATCGCACTTTACATTCTTTCGTCTAATCAGCCGATGTTCTGGCCAATATGAGGTCCTAGCTAGAAGATTTCCAAAGTTTGTTTTCTTTTTGAATAAGTGTGTATAACTTTTAGTTACTCATTGTTTGGCATTTTCAAAATTGTATTTAGTAATAAAAGAAGTAGCATTCAAGAGAAAAAAACAATAATTTATTTAGCCTCTTGCTAAATTGGTAAAGTTTTCAAAATTCTTTCAGAGTAACAAAAAAATTTCAATTTTAGCTTACCATTACGCTGACAAGAGCTCAATGCTGTGACAAAAACTTCCTAAGAATATGTAAGATATGGATTTACTATTTAAATTAGCAAAGATTATAGTTATTTATTATATAAATAAATGACTAAATCGAAATTAATATTTTTTGGTTCCTGAAACCTCTTTAACTTGGGGTTAATGGCTCTAAAAAAGGTTCATAAAGTTTGAGTAAATTTCCTCCAAAACTGCAAATTCAAATATTCCAAACTTCCAACTTTTTCCACCTTTCACCTGTAATGGTCCAAAATGACTTAAACCAATAAAGCGCACTTACACCTTTGATGGCTTTAGTGTTGGATTTCTACCCTACCAAAGAAAAGTCTCAGATAGATTTATAGTTTTTGATCTTAGCTTTATATGGAACATGTTAAATGTTACTTGGTGGATCGCTTCCCAAAGAAAAAGACACACTTTCAGACATTTGTTGTATTCGAAACAAAACGGAGATCGCCTGAACCGCAAGCATTATCTAAAGTCTGTTTTTTAGACGTGTGTTTTTACAGCGCTGTTCTAAAAATATGAAATACATAATGGCTACGTCAAATAAATTCCATCTGGGGGGTTCAATTTTCTTAAAAAACATACAAGTGTATTCGAATACTTGAAAATGAGATTGGTAAAAATTATTAAAGTCAACGTAATCTCCCATGAGATTTTCCACTTCCCCGCCACCAATCGACACTCGTTCTAGTCGATTTCATCTACTATCTCAATGAAATTAACGACTGCACATTTTTAAAATAAAATAATCTCTATATTTTAAAATATAGATCTTATCCATTAAATCTTAGTACTTCAGCAAAGCTGGATTTTAAAGTTACATTTGCCACTCAATTTTTTGCTTCTCAGCAGATTTTAGTGATGCTGTAAGAGAGGCTTCTGGACAAAAGCTGAATGCTATGTAAGAACAGTAAGAAAAATACCTAAATACTGGAAAGTGAATATCGTGATTAGGACTAGCACTTATTATTCAGTACCGTTGTATAATAAGGTAAAATATCTCTTGAGTGAAACTAAATGCACGCACTCGAAAATTAATTAGTTAGGATTTAGTAAACAGCAATTGCACGGACTTGAGAATAATAATAACAAAAATTCCACTGCTTATTCTGAAAAAGAGAAGTGGACGTCCAAAAAATGATATTTCAGTACCATGTTTATAGACCCAAATTAAGCAAGTCGGTAACATATCGACTGGAATTATCAACAAAAAGCGTAGATTATTATTTTAGTTTTAACAAACATTTATCTTTTGATCGGCTTTGCATTTCAGGTGCCGGTTTTTTAAAGCAACGACTGCATAGGTTTAAAAAAATAAATAAATGATCGGCTTGGCTTCTTCTTTGTTCCATATAAACAAATAAACAAAATGGCATTTCTAAAAACATCATTTCTATTTTTAACAATTATCCTTGTAATTTAAAGAATTGACTTTTGCTTAACAAAGTTTTCTGAACAGTTGAGGTGGACGAAGAGCACTGCCGCCGCCAAGCGAGATTGCAGCTCCTGCTGGCTGAGATCATGGGCCCACTCCACGCGACCCCAGAACTTGAGTTGGTACTCCTCCTCCAGGCGGGCCAGGGTCACCGCCTTCTCCACGGTCAGCATCTGCTCGATGACGGCGCAGGCCAGGATTATCGACTTCAAGGTGTCCACTGCGAAGATGAAGCCTGATGGGGGATGGAGAGAGTTGCTATAAACGTTTTACACTCGGCACGGACTGCGTTACCATGCAGAGTTTCCAGGCTGTAGGACTGAAAGTGCTTGGCGACCCTCATCTTGTCCTCCTCGCTGACCTGTGGTGGCGTGATGTTCATGGTCTTCTGCAGGTTCGTCTGGAAGCGCTGGTTGAACCAGGCGATAACCGGGTCCCACTCGTTGACCTGCAGGTCCTGAAGGTCCGTCTCGTCCTGCAACGGATACATGTCAGTGGACCGCAGCCCTACACTTAGAAGCAGTCACCCACGTCGTACTGGAAGAGCACCGTGTCGGTGGCCATGAAGTTGAGCAGGTAGTTGACCATGTCCAGCTTGCTGAGGTGGTTCGGATTGTCGATGGCCGTGAAGCAGAGGGCGGACAGGTGCATGCGGGAGCGCTCGATGTGCTCCTTTTGGGCGTCGAACTCCGTGGCCACCGCAATGGCGAGTGGTTCGCTGCGCACCACAAAGGGCGTCCCCTTGGGCGTCTTCAGTTTCCGGTGGTCCAGCACCACCTCGTAGCCGCCATCGCCGCTCAGCACGGACGTCTTCTTGTAGAACCGCTTGGGTGGAGCGGCTGCAGGGGGAAAAACAGCACGCCGAATGCCGGCTGGTTATGAAACTTTTGGCCGCGCGAACGGAAGCCGACGCTACTTACCGTAATGCCGCACTGTGACCCCGGCGGTGGGAGCTCTAAACTGGCTGCAGTGGCTCACCCGAAGGGCTCGGATGACACCCAGCATCAGCTTTCCATTCATCTTTTAAATTTATGTGTTTTTAGGCCCTTCGAGGTGCTGTTTAGCACAATACAGTTTGCAGTGTGCCCGCTGCCTATTTCTATTAAATAACCGCAGCCAGTGATTGTGCTACGGTCTTACTGTCAATCAGCTGGGCGTGTTAACAAGCAGTTAAAATTCAAAAATCTAATCTGCGGTAACGAGCCTTTAAAAGATATTCTCAACTACTTGGCAAGACATGTCTGCCGCTATACAAATAAATCATAAAACAATATAATTTAAATGTAACAGTTGTTTTGTTTTTAATTACTGATAATTATTTGGTAATTTAGAGATCATAGCTGCATAAAGTTCTATCAGGACATTTTTTTGGTTTTTTTTTATTGTGTAGTTCCGTTATTTTTCGACCTAAAAAAAACTCTGCTCTGACAACACACCCAAAAATATTAAATTTTTTTATTTTTTCTTCGATCTGAGCACCGGGGTGAAAAAAGAGCCTGACGAAAAGCGTTCGCCAGGTGTTTGCCTCTCGCTCTCTCTCAAAGCTGACGGAAAGATTTCGTCGATCTAAGTACTAGGCTTTAAATCTCAAAAATGTTGTTAAATTCTAGGCGCCCTTCGACATAAAGCAAACTCTGATATTTTAATCAAATTATCCTCAAAAAATGTCATAGAAAATTGTTGTTGTTTTTATTCTTTTTTTTTTGTTCTACACAATGTGCTGTTAATACTCAAACATAATGGAGCGCTCCACCGAATGCTATAACATCAGGGTCGAGGAGAATGAGGTCAATAGTAAAGCCCAAAATTGCAGTAGGACCGAGAGCTCCGACCTTGATGATAAGGACTCCACTACAACCATTTTGAATATTCCCAAATCTCATGCATCTACTCTTAATTTTTTTAACGCCAATCAGCTATGCGACTTTCCATCTACGACCACTCTTAAGAATGATCCACCCAAAAATGTCGCCATTGAAGAAGTCCGTGAGGGCCAGAAATTAAGAAAGTACGAAAACCAAGCATTTTTATGAAACTTCTTCCATTGCATATCTCACCTAGGTCACATACTCGCATTTCTTCCGGACAAATGAAAAGCCCAGCTTCCGGAGGTAAATAGAATGATAGAATGGCTTAAAATAATTTTAAGATATTACAAATAATGTAATCGGCAAGCCGAAGTTTATATACCCTTGCAGTTATTACAAAACAACTACATTTCGATGTATCTACCTATATTACTAAAAACATTACTATGTCGATTTTGTGCTGCATTTTGTCATCGTTTCAATGGCAGCTATATGACATTGTTTTCCTAAAACTAAAAGCGTAATTCTGATATAGCATATAATTACTATATCTCAAAGGAATATTTTAATAAATAGAAAGACAGCAAAATAAATTTTTTTTTTAATTTTTTGGTATTCCTGTGGGAGCTATATGATATAGATGTCCGATTTTAATTTAATTAAAACGTAATTCCACAGTATTTAATTATCAACAAATCCGAAAAAAACAACATAAGCAAAAAAAAAAACAAAGTTATATTTTTTTCCTTTTTTTTCCGATTGTTCCTATTGGAGCTATATGATATAGTCAACCGATCCGGCTTGTTTCAACAAATATACTACCTGCAATATAAAGGCAACTTTTGGGAAGTTTCAAGCCGATAGCTTTAAAACTGAGCGACTAGTTTTCGTAGAAACGGACGGACGGACATGGCTAGATCGACTCTCCTGGTGATCCTGATCAAGAATATATATACTTTATAGGGTCGAAAATTATAATACCCTCTGCAAGGGTATAATAATGCCAATTTCCAATGAGAGTATTCTCATAATTTTAACAGATTTTCCTACACATTCCCTTTTTTCCTAGGCGCTCGGATCTGTGGTAACCTAATGAACATTGTGACGTTCGCCGAACCAGAAATGCGAACTGGATGTTTCTGCGACCCGGGAACATTTATCGCTGCAAACTGGGGATGTCCTTGCTGCAGATGCTCATCCCGGTCCCCCGCAAGCCACTCTCAGATGCAGTCCACATCCGATCAGGACATCGACTTTTGTTGCTGCTCCCAGAATTCTATACAATCGGAGCAGACTTTAACTACCTCTTCGAAATGCAGGTGCGCAAGGCAGCTGGAAGGCACTTCAGAGGATCTACTCCCCAGCTATTCTGACGAGGATTCCGAAGATCTAGTTTCTTTGGATAGCTCAGACTCCGAGAATCGGGGACTTGAAATGCCAGATCCTGAGGTTCTCCAGAATTCTAGGCAAAGTACAAGTTCTTCTAGTTCTGGTGTTGCTTCCAGCGAAAGTTCCGCCTATTCTAGCTTTTCGGATAGCGGTTCCATGGGATTAGACACACCTTTCGTGCCTCCACCTGGCACTTGGTATGCACCACCGCCATGTTTTTACCCCCCAGACGCCTGCTCTGCTTGTCCGCAGTCCAACTTTCTGGGAGCCCAACAGCAGACACCTCCACCGATGACAACCTTCAACCCGTTCTTGTGCGGATCCAGCATCAACGATATGTTCCAGACCCAAACTGTTTATATGACGGATTACAGGCCGATTTTAAGTGGGGGCAACCCTGCGCCCTTTTGTGGCGGAGGATGCTGTTGCTCTCCTGAGCCACTTGCCACCAGTTGCTGGGATAGTGAGTGCCTTCCGAGCGCTGGATGCCCTGCCCCCTGCTGCTGTCCACCTGATACTACGTGCTGCAATGGTCTGAGTGGCGACATGTGCGGCGGAGCCTATGGAACCGGCGGTATCTGCAGCTCAGATTCTCCATACTTTCTTTTGGGTCAGCCTAGGTGTGTTTAAGTACCGTGTTTAATGTCCTTTGGCTAAATGACAGTCTGCTTTTAGTCCCGGATTCTGCTGCCATCTTCCATGCGGTACCAACATATACCCGACATGTGGTCCTTAAGGTAAGGCCTGAAATAAACAAATTAAATTATGAATACGAACTTTTAGGGTCTTGAATTCATCAACTAATCTTCATTAAACTTCAAAATGGCGTAAACAATGTCACGAGTTTAAGATTTTTTATTACAAAATATTGCATTGACAATTTACTTTTAATTGTTCGTCAATTATTTGTTGAATTTTAATTATTACATTTATTTAAAAGCAAAATGAACATAAATATTTACTAGGGGATGAGTTGGTATGTAGCAAAATTGAACATCACAAACGAAGAAAACTTTATAACCTTCAAACTTTGAGCCGTTTAATTTTGAGCTAACTTTAACTACTTAAGCAATGTACTTAAGTAGACAAATTCTAGCCGTCCATATAAATTAGAAAATGTTTTAAAAATCTGTTTTCTTTGTGTTTGTGAGCGTTTGCAATGCTTGGGAAATTATAATATAATTTTGATTTGATTGGTCTTAATTATTTGTGTGGAGGCTATCATTATTTAACTATGGTAAACTGTATATTGATATTTAGTTAGGCCTTTTTATTCATTAAATTAACATTTAACTATTTTCAATTTCACTTAAAGTTTACATTGACGGACAGCAGCAAGAACGGGCAGAAGACCATGTATCAATTGTGCAGTGAGATCCTGATTTAACAATAAACTGATAAAAGCAAGTAACTTACTGAACAAACAAATTAAAAAATATTCGGATGAAGATAAGATTAATGAGCTCACTATTTAGATTATATTTCAAGTATTTTAAAAACGGAAAGAGTTAATAAAGCAAAATAATAAATAACAATACAATTTAGATGTAAGTGATACTCTCCGCAAGATCTCTTGGACTTCTGCCATCATCTTTAAGTATGCCTAATCTTCCTTCTGTAGATACAAGTTTATTATATTTGGAATTTAATGTTCTTTTTTTGTTGCGTGTGAATTTTCTGGTGGGGCAGGAAGTTTTACAATAAGCTTACTCACATATAGACACACACACATATGCAGGAAACAACTATCTAGATATAATCAAAAAATGATTTTTTATATTGTTTTGTGTATTTACGTGTTTTGAATCCTGTTGCAGGATTTGCTTCAGCTATTTAAGTAAGATTTACATAATAAAAATAATTATAAAACAGAAATTAATACAAAACTTAACCTCAAGTATAAAATGATACATTTGATTTATGTATGTACTTGTGTTTTTTTTTATGCAACAATCAGCATAACTGGAATAGTCTTAGCCAACCAGGATGGCGATTTCGAGTGGTCTTTTGTTGTATAAGGTTTGCGAACATAGATATCTGGTTGAAGATATATATTTAATATATGTAGACATGGGTGAAATTGCACTAAAACTAAATGCTACAACATTTAAAAATGGGATTTCATTATCTGTTTGCTAATAATGAATATATATAGAGATATTATCGAAAATTTCAGCAGCTCTCCTTCAAACCAAATTGGTTTTGGCATTCATTAAAAATACATTGAATAATTTCCGTTATGTAGGTAGGTATAAAAATGTCGCTAGCTGATGTTTCTAAATTAACTTTTATGCCTTTGTGTTTTTTATGCCTTTTCGTTTTTATCCTTTCGTAATAGTAAAAGTAATTTTTTAAATAAATTTTTTTAGTCTTTTCATTTTCCATGTGTGCTTTAGTTTACACTATACATAAGTCAAATATGTATATATAGCAAAATCAATATATACTTTTCTTACTGAAACTCTAGCCAACAACAACAGCAATCTAGGGCCCTGCACATGGCTTATATCAAAATATATATTGGTGTAAAAATTTGGCAATCTTGCGCTTAGATTCAATCTCGACCAGTGGGCCTGATGTGGCTGCTATCGTGGCTTTGGTTTTTAGGCACATGTTTTCAGAGCTTACAACTAAAGAACTTATCTCCAAAATATATGTATCTAATACTAAATATGTAAAACTTGTTTTGCCAACGGCAGCAGATTTCTATCTCTGTAATCAATTGTCAATGCTCCCCGCGCAAGAGCTCCATTAGCAAATTGAAATCCGCGCCATCCCGAGTCTTGATCGTCAGCATCTCCTTGCCCAGCTTTAAAAAAACATTTATTATTCGCACAGAGTAACATTTTAATATGCATAACACCACACTCACCTGACATGTTCGCTGCAGGTCAGGAATACGCAGCAGTAGTTCCCCAAACTTTGACGGCGTGTCGGGGTAGTGGGCCAGGGTGTACGCCTGCAAGCTCTGCAACGCCTTTTCCTGGCACTCTCGCACCTTCACCGCCTCCTGCAACTCCGTCGTATCTGAGGGGACACACTTCTTTGATTAGCGTTGGGGTCAATTTGGCAGGTAATTATACTTCTTACCCGACTGCAGCAGCACTATCACCTTCATGGCAACATATTCATAGCGATCAACGCGTAATCGCCTCAGGTGATCCGTCAGATTGAGCATCCTTTCAATGCAGGTCTACAATAAATAAGCGGTTATATTCGTGTTACTGGGGTGAATTTAACTTATTTTATAAGTTTAAGGCGTAACTCACCTGCAAGCCATTTGACTTGGCCTGCGATAGGGTTATCTTCCTGCCTTGTGACATTTTAATCTCGCCGGGAGTGTCGATTGATCGAAAACAGCAGGAGAAGAGCAACAGTTCGCACCACGAATTAATGAGCAGGCATATCTGGTCATCGATCTGGAATGGATTGAAATGTACAACGATATTCAAGGAGTGTCCATGTAATCCCTTTACGAACCGAAATATTCTTGAAAAGCGGCAGGCTCTTGCACCACTTGACGATCTTGTAGAGGCGGTGATCGGCCACGTTGCAGAGATGGGCGATTAGATCGGGGTTGGCGTTCTCGCCATTGGACGAGAGGCCGGCACTGGCCAGGAGTGGATTGGTCAGCTGCGGCTGTGCGTGGGCGCCCGAGGATGCGGCGGACGACGAGGATGAGGACGAGCTGCCGGAGGCGAATGCCGACAGCGGTTGGTTTATACGGGCCAGCTCAGCGTCGGTGTACTGCCAGAGATGCTCAACATCCATGATTTCCTGGAAGAGTCGATAAGGATTTTAGTAAGACGGCAAACTGCGAGCAAATTGGCTCTATAGGCACAAAACCAAAGTTCCAATATGTAGCTATGTATTTAAAATGTATTCAACAGGCTTTTTTTTTTGCAGTAGGTGGGTATGTAGTCTTTACACAATAATTAAAAACGTTGTTACTTTCCAGTCTAGTCAGCATGTTACTCAAAAAATATAGACAAAGTCTAAGAACTGCAAGCCAGGTGCTTCGTTCTTTCTATTCACCATTCTATTTATTAAGCCGGAGCTGGAGGACTGACCTGCAGTAGTGGTGGCACGCTTCCGGTTCGCAGGCCATGCTTGCCCGTCTCCGCCGCCTCCTCCGACTTGATGGAAGCTCCTCCCAATCTGGGGCTGGCGGGCAGGGAACTCGAGCAGGGAATGGGTACGCCTCCAAAGCCATTCAACTGATGCAGTCGCTGCTGTTGCTGCTGCTGCTGCTGACTAGCCACCGCTGCTGCGGCGGCCGCTGCTGCCGCTTGGTCCGGACTGAGCAGCGGACTGAGCATGGAGTTGGGCAGCGTGTAGGAGCACTGGTACGTGGAACGGCCGCCGCGCGTCCGGTCCTCCCGAATCGCCTCCAGCTTCATGCCCTTCTGCAGGCACTTCTCGAACCGGCAGGCCGGACACTTCTTGCGCGTGGAGATGCTCACCTGGCAGGGTCCGCCCCGCACGCACACGTAGTTCTTGCGGTTCTGCACGGTGCGCTTGAAGAAGCCCTTGCAGGACTCGCAGGAGAAGATGCCGTAGTGGAAGCCGCTGATCTTGTCGCCGCAGATGGGGCACGGCGAGTTGATCAGCTGCTGGCGTGAAATGCCCGCCGGCGAGGCGGGTGCGAGGAGCCGCCCGCGTCCATCCCGCTGGAGGCCGAGTCCATGCTCAGGTTCTGCGCCTCCTGCCCGCCGGACGACGGCGCCGTGGACGAGGCCTCCACCTTCAGGGGGCGGTACAGCACGCTGTGGTGGTGTACGCCCCCGTTGCCGTACAACGCTCCGGCGGGAGGGGCGTGCCTCGCCTGGATGGGCGAGTGGGTGGGACTGAACTCCGAGCTGTAGCTGTAGCAGCTGCTGTGCGAGGCGTCGCTGTTGTTGCGGCTCAGCGAGGGCGTGTAGGGGGCGTGGCGCGACGTCAGCGGCGACTGCGAGGGCGAGCTGTGCGTGTAGACGGAATGTATGGCGGAGTCGGGACTGGGATTCGCGGGCAGCGGCAGGTGGCCTCCGCTGCTGGACTTGCTTCGTGCCGCCAGCAGCGGCGAGTTGTCTCCCAGCGGCGGCTCGAACTTGAGATTGATCGGGTCGCTCTGCGTCGGCGCCAGCTTAATCTTCGAGGCGGAGTGCGAGTGGGAGTGGGCTTGAACGTGGGCGTGGGCTTGTGCGTGGGAGTTGGACATGGGGTAGGACTTGCCCTGCTGCTGCAGCTCGCCGGCGATGTTCTCCAGCTCTGTTTTGATCGGCTGCAGGGCGCAGGCGGGCTGCAGGGGCGCGGATGCGGCGGCGGCGACCACCTCGCTCTTGATCGTCGGCTCCATCTCCATCAACTCCTCGCCGCCGTTGGCCTCCGCGTCGCTCAGTTCGCCCTCCCAGGACATGGGTCGCGGTCCGTTCTTGTCCGCCGCCGTCCTTCGTCGCACCTTCAGGCTCTCGATGTTCGCCAGCTCCGCCTCCGAGTCAGACTCCTCCTCGAGACTCGGCTGACCGCTCAGCGGGATCCGCAGGCTGCCGTGCCCGTAGTTCGCGATCACCGGCACCAGGTTGCCGTTCGGCGTGGGCAGCTCGTCCAGCTCGCACTTGATGTTCGTCACGGACACGTTGTGCCTTGGTCCAGTGGCTCCTCCGCCCAGCGTGGTCGTCGAGGCCGCCACGGCGGTGGTGCACATGTTGACTGGCAGTTGATAGCCCCCGCTTCCTCCCATTGGAGCACTCTGCTCCGCTTTAATGCTGGACATGTTGGGCATGTTGTATCTGCAGCAATGGTGAGTCGGTGGCCGCGATCTTCTGTTTCTTATGGTTTACTTATTTATCAAAGACTTTTGATTCTCAGTTGTGCAATTTGTAAAAATTGGAGAGGTGTCGTTGATGCAGTTCCATTGTGTTGTAAAACTTGAATGATAAGACAGGATAAACCACGTTAGTTATATGCGATTCTGAAATCGGTGCAGAGTAGAGCACTGATTTTAAAGACAACGTATTTAATTATGTTGGTACAGTGGACGTCAATTAGGTAAAATTAGATAGCCTAACTCTCAACGGTATAAAGGTTGTTTATTTGTGCAATAAATTTATTTTAAAGCCAAATATTTTCATTTAAATTAATAGTCAAAGTTTTAAAAAATTTGATATGCATACAAAAAGAGCAACAACAAAATAATGGTTTCGGATGATATGTATCAATACATTGAACTCTGCAATTTGGGAAAAGTTTCAAACAATGAAACTGGCCAATTTTCGGCGAATGAAAACTTTCAAAGTTGCTTTAAATTTAAATTTAGTTGTGCAACCTTAGACATTAATGTATTATCTTTATTTATGCCCGAGTATTACAGGGTATCACATTGTAAGCCCCTTCCAATGCTATTAAAAACGAGTTTGATTCAAGTTCGGCACCTTCGCTTGGGAATTTTTTTCTATTCGCGCTTCTCTATTCTATCTCTATTTAAATCGTTTCTCGCGAACCTTTCGGCAGTGACTCAGTCTGCTTTGTAAGCGGATTTCTCGGACTCTTGAGCGCCTAGCAACACGAACAAAGGCCTATTATAGGATGGCGGGAGGGCCGACCACAATGAGGTCAATGCCACCCAACAGCCACCCACCACGGCGACCTTGCCCGGCCATCAACCGCCACTTATGCTAATTGAGCTGACTCGCGAGCCGGCTTTTAAAGAACCGCTCGTATACGAGTTCGCTCTGTCCATTCTTCTTATCAGCCTCACTTTAGTGAAGCTCTGAGCACAAACAATGGCTGAGGCAATACTCAACTTATAGGCAATGGCCAGGCACGAAAAATGTCATCGACCCGCGGCGATGGAACGTCGGAGCTATGAAGCAATCGGCCAACCGGGAGAGGCGGAAAGTCGATGGATGGGATTGGATGGGAATTATAATAAATTTAAGGTACAATAACCCAGCGCCACGCAAGTGTGCCTGACCCCCGGTTTTTAGTGGACCCATATGTACATACGTATGATGCGGGATAGACTTTTGGATTTGACTTTAAATGTTTATCTCGGGATTAAATCAAGTTTTATTGGGAGACAAGCGGTAAAAATTAAAGAAATGTTTTATATTGTAAATAAGTTGTTTACCCTACAGAACGATGAAAAAAACTAAAAGAATGGGTATCGCAGCAAAACACCATATTTTTTAGGGCATATTGTATTCGGTAGGGGCAGGCCACAGGTAGAAGGAAGACTGTTGGACCCTATAAAGCATATATGTATATTATTGATCAAGATCACGGCTAGATATAAGGTCCATATCTCGGAAACTAAGCAGCGCTAGAATATTTTATGCCCACTCTAACGCAATTGCTTAAATTATTTTTTTCCATTTATTCAATATTTATAGAATGTAGCCCCAAAACTTTAGTGTCACTAAACAGAAAACGTTTTTGTTCTTTTGTTATAATTTGTACTACTGCTTACTTATTCGTAGCATCTTGCACATTTCTATAGTTGTTTTTTTGTTTACTGTAAAGGAGCTATACAACTTATTGGACTTTCTCCCAGTCCTACATTTATAGTTCCCAACTGGTTCTGGCGCACCGTGAACCAAGACACAAAAAAGTTTAGACTTCTTAGAATCATTACTCTATTCAGTATTCTTATATTTCCACAGTAGCTGAAAGACTTTCAAACGATTTGTGATGAACGTAGTGATAACATTTAGGCCTCTGCATAAATTTACTGTCACCTTTTTGTGGTACGAAAACTCGATTTTTGTAATCATTCCTAAAAAGTCGGTCTCTGAACTATTTTTTCTGTTCGAGCATTTTAGCAAGTTTTATTTCGGATGAACCATTTAAAATCTGGAAACACTATAGAATTTAAAATCTTACGCCAGACGAACATGTTTTTGACCTGAGTACAAGCCCTTATTTGGAATTTTGAAATGCAGTGAATCAAACGCAAATTGGCCAAAATGTTTAATCTGGGGCAGGATTCTCAAATGTATATTCAAGCTGTACAGATAATTTGCTAAAACTGCAGGAGCACAACTACTTTTATATGTACGTATAGTTGCTTTTCTTTTCCTTAGTTAAGAGTGCATTTAATTTAAATAGTATTTTTAGTAAGTTTGCTTCCATAGAAAAACTATGCAATCCAAGAAAACGCATGCAATGCATTGCAGTGAATACCGGGTATCCCTTGAATTGCGCCAACATTTGTAAATGATTTTAATCGACCCCCAATAAGAATTCGTTATGTTTAGCAGAGACAACAACCAACGCACTGCGCCAAGACAAAACCAAGACAGCGACTGAGAGGGATAATCAGAAAGAGCCGGCTGGGAAAGAGAGAGCGAGAACGAGTAAGAAGCGACGCGCAGAACGCAGAACAAGCAAAGGACGACCTTCAAATAATGTTGAATTTTGTACGCAAACGACCTTGCATAAAACAACAACAACCACGTCGACGACGGCGGCGGCGAAGCAAGCCACGAAGAAGAAGACGCAGCAACGAGGGCAGCTCCACACACACACACCCACACTTAAGAAGAGAGAGAATCACACATAGGCAGAGTAAGACGCACACATGCGCCGCCGGTGACAAAAGAGGGGCAGAGAAAGGGAGAGAGAGAGCGTTGTTATTGTCTTTATATTTGGGGTTAGAGAAAGAACAGAAATATTCTTGGGGACGTACTGCAAGAGTGTGTGTGAAAAATTAGCACAAACAAAACAAACAAAATGGGTTGTACATATGCATATGTAAGTATGTGCATATATGCATGCATATGTATATGAAAAAAGAAAGAGCTAAGTTGCGTGGGTGCGCCACATAAGCAGAAGAGAGAGCGTTGGGAGAGGGACGCAGAAATTGAGTGGTCAGCATTTGGTTTTGATGATTTCCATGTTCTGGCTTTCAGGGAAGTACTCATACTATGGACCTGGTCTGAGGGCACTTAGGGCCGGCAAATGCAGCCAAGCGAGGTTCGATGATGGCTTCTCTTTCGGCTTCTCGGTTTCCGGTTTTCGCCCCTGTTGGAAATAGAACTGTACCCACACAGATGGGGCACTGTTGTTGTTGCTCAGAGTTTAAGGGCCTCTCAGGCGGAAGTGTTCTTAAACTTGGAGTTTGGTGTTCAGGAGGGGCTACCGATTGATGAAATTCGGCCTTGGGTGGGAGTATAGCAGTGCTAATGCTCTGAGTTTACATTTCATCTCACAATATATGTACACATGTACATCTGTATGTATGAATGCAGAAGTGAGTAAAAAAATTCAGATTGGAAAGCTAAAGTGGGCAAAGGATAGGTTCATTCAAATTTCAAAAAATTCGATTTTAGTCGACCCAACTTCTTAGAGCTGATAAAAAAAGTTAATTCATTCACCTCAAAGAACAAAAAGTTTACAATATGTGAAAATATATACTAATTTTATACTGATATTTTTATAACTTAAAAAAAGTAATCTTTTATTATAAAATTAAAACAACAAAAAATTATGTTGCTGATGTTTTTCCATTGTTAAAAGAAGGTGTATGTACTAACTCTAATTATTTTAACAGAATTACTTACTCGAAACTGGAATCTCTTCATTACGTCCCAGTTTTGAGAAAAACGTTGTCAAAGTATAAAATATTCGAATTGAATGCACTTTTTAAGTCTTTATGAACACTAATTCGTGGTGCAGTTGTGTTGAACTACTTTGGAAATAAAATAAAAGTAGGAACGAGAAAACAGGCCTTAGTTTTAGGTATTCCCACTCTAATTGCGTGAAACTGCTCGACTCTTATCGCGACTTTCGTGACTTTGAGTCTGGAAATTCCGACAAATCTACTTATGACTTACGAAAATTCCAAATGGACTAAAATTGTATTTTAGGTAATCCCTTATTGACTATTTCCTTACTACTTTTCTTATTGAAGTCTACATTTTAGGAAATTTGTTCCTTAAAATTAATTCATTAGAGATACATATATCAAAATATGGACAACATTTCTACTTTACAAATTCAAAAGAGGTTCAAAATCATTGCAATCTAAACATGGGTTTTTGTATTTCTCTTAATTAAGCATTTACAATTGGAAGAAAGGCTTCTAAAGCCCAATTATTTATAGTTAAGTTTAAAGGGTACCCCAAGTTCGGCATGCCGCAAATGCACTTTTACTGCAATTTGGCAAGCCCCTTGAATAAAGCATTCCAGAACCCAGAAAGTCGAGTTCAGCTCGGTAATGGCATTTATGTGGGGGCAAGCTAGGTGAACGACAAGTCCGCTGGCCGAGAACCCACCCATAAGCTCAACGGGGTTAGGCTCCATCGCCCATTCCGCGTTGGCTGTATGTCGTTTATCGATTTTTATCAGGCTCTGAGTTTGACAGCCCATCGAAGGCAACTTCAACCAGACGGAAAACTCCCCTCAGAGCTGTGGCAAAGGGGTTGACCTTCAGGTTTTTCCCATTGCGTTCTTTTCTGCTTTCGCGGAAATGTGCTCCCTTGAAAAGAATATGGCGTACTCGTCGGCTCTGTGGAGAGTTTGGCATTTGTGTGGGTGGAAATTCATGTCAATAATATTCATGGCATTGACATGCTTTGTGGGGCATTAGCTTCGGGGGTGGCACTGGCCTCCCCGTTCGTCTGGTCCCTTGCGACCTCGACCCTTCTCTGTGGGGTGGATGATATCGTTGTTGACGTCGGAGTTTGCCCACTGAGTAGGAAGTTCGTTTCAATTATGCGTAACATGAAAGCGGCGAGGGCACACTTTTTATTGCAGATCTGTTTACAGTTAACGACAGCAGAAGCACCCCACAAATTGGGGTTGGTAGGGTTTTATAATTGGGGACCACGGCATCCCGCATTGAGAGGGGATGGGTGGTTTTAGGGGGTGTTGGCTAACTTCGGCCAGCCCAAGTTTATATAGCCCTGCAGATATAGAACGAAAAAAA